TTGCATTACGGAAACAATTATTTCAAAGAGTGTTCATTCGTGAAACTAATAAACAATGACCATTCTCCTCCACTGTTTCTTCTCAGAGCTTTAAAGTGGGACGAAGCCCAATATAAGAAGAAAAAGGTACAAATATTTTTCATCTTTGAAAAGTAATCCTCTTAAGAGCAACGGCCATATCAATAAGTAGTCTCTGACGTGGTAGAAACTCAATAAACATCAAGAAGTTATTTAGTTACTTTCACTTCTGGCTGTGATGAAGCAAACCACGGCTCCCACCAAGAACAACTAGAAATACATATAGAATGGTAAAGCAAAGACAATTGTCTGAAGGTGTCAGGTTGCAGCTAAGGCACCAGACTGAAGCAGTGAAACCTTGGAGAAAAGGGAAGCCCCATGGAGTTGAGCCCAGCTTCCTGCATGTTGCTTCTCTCCTGTGGGCATTAGTTTTCTCCTGGGTGCAGGTCAAGGGATCAAAAAGGTGCAGGGTGGCTGCCAAGAGGAGGAAAAGGCAGCAGAGCTGTAGGCAATCTCAGGGGGCTGGGAACACAAAGATTAGAGTCCGAGACAGCCAGGACTTGAGGGACTAAATTCCCCAGGAGAAGCAAAAGCTCAGAAGAATGAACCTAAATCTGGGCAGCAGTTTTCCTTTTGAGGCTACCTGTTGATAAAGCTGCACTAGGATAGCGGCTGAAAAATCAAGGCAGAGTTTTTGGCAGCCTGTGGTGATGGAGGGACAGAAATTGGAGAATGAGACCCACCAAGGAGGAGGGGCTTAGGAAGTAACCTGGTTCTTAGCTGACACTCCAGGAGGCCTGTCCCCTAGAAGTGGGACAAAGCAGAGGTAGTCTGAACCTTACAAAGATTGCTGACCAGCCATGATTAGCTTGGTCCCTCATGGGATTGAGGTGAACTGCTCCTTTGCTGCCTGTGAGAGGAGCCAGCAGATCCTCTCTAGAAGGAGAAAGCCCACCCTCTACAATTTTTCAGGCATTATGTGTAGAATTCAATTAAAAAAAAATTACCAGGCAGTTAAGAAACAGACTATGGAGAAAACATGGTAATAGACCCTCTGAGGACTAAGATATTGCAGTTTCAGACAGAGCCTTTTAAATAATTGTGATTCATATATTCAGCAAAATAGTTGACAAGATGGAGAATTTCACTAGAGAACTGGAATCTATTGAAAAAAATTAGATGGAGTGGGAGAGGGTGTAGCTCAATGGTAGAGCACATGCTTAGCATGCACAAGGTCCTGGGTTCAATCCCCAGTGCCTCCATTTAAAAAAATTAATAAATAAATGAACCTAATTACACCCCCCCCAAAAAAAGTAGAAATGAAAAGAATCTAAAGGAAATTCTAAATCTGAAAAATGCTACTGATAGTAGGAACTCAGTAGGTAGTTTTAACAGCAAAGCTGGACACCACTAAAGAGATTAATGAGCTGAAAGGTAGGTCAGTAGGAAAATCTAGACTGAATCATATTGGTGAAAAGAATGACAGATACAGAAAAGAGCATGAAAGACATGTGGCTCATGTGGAAAAGTTCAAACTCTGGAGACTCAGGTGGGGAGTAGAGGAAAAATAGGGCAGAAGCAGTATTTGAAGAAAGAATGGCTGAGAATTTTTCCAAATTGATGAAAGATACCAAGCCACAAGTTTAAGGGACATTATGTACCACAAGCTAGATGAATTCACTCTAGCCACAACTCAGAAAACCATAGAAAAATCTTAAAATCAGCTATAAATAAGACACTGTGTGTCTTTTCAAAGAAGCAGTAATATAGTGCATTTACAAAAACTCTATAGCTCACATCATAACTTAAGGTAAAATCTTGAATGCTTTTCTGCTCAATTAGGAAACATGACAAAGTCTATCATCACCACTTCTATGTAAGTTTGTATGAAGATCCTAGATAATGCAGTATGGCAGAAACAGAGAGAGGGAGGGAGGGAAAAGTAAGATTGAAAATGAAAAAATTAAACTGTCTTTTGCTGTAGACAACCTGATTGTATACACAGAAAATCCAAAAGACACAACAATCATATTATGATTAATTAATAAATTTAGCCTAGTTATAAGATCAATAATAAAAAACCAAGTGACATTTTAATATTCTACCAATAAACAATTAAAAAATAAAAATTTTAACTTACATCATTTCTAGTAGATTCAGAAACATCAAATATGTGTAAGACTTCTACACAGAAAACTACAGAACAATATTGAGAGAAAGTAAAGAGGATCTAAGTAAACCAAGGGATATCCAATGTTCATGGATTAAAAAATTGACTTGTAAAGATGTCAGTTATCCCAAAATTTATCTGTGGATCTAATGCCATCACAGAAGTAGTCCTAGGAGTATGTTAGAGAATGTGTGTGTGTAAGTTTATGTAGAAATGCAGAGACAAGAATAGCTATCTGGGGAAAAAAAAAAAGCTGGGGAATATAAACTGCTATATATCAAGACTCATTAAAAATCGATGGTAACTAAGACAGTGCGGGATTATTGCTGTGAAAACAGACAGACCCGTGGAACACAGGCCAGAAACGGATTCACACGTACACAGTCACTTAATTTATGGCAGGTGACTCACCGTCTTCAAGCCTTAGTTTCCTTGTCTATAAATAGGTTTAATGAGAGTGCCTACCATATAAGGTTTAAATATTATCTATCAAAAGGATTCTGGTATGTATTAAAGAAGCTAGCACATATGCAGGGGACGTAGCAAGTGCTCAGTAAAATTTAGCCAGTATTGCTCCTTCCACTGTGACTACCACTATTATTACAATTATTACTACCACTATTCCTACTCTTCATTTTCTCTATTTTTCAATATGACCATCTAGAAGTGGGGAATGTGGGGACATCAAATCCTGGCTGGCGACAAGGAACATCTGGGGCAACGCAGTGAGCAGGAGAGTGTCCGTTCTTAGCCTTCCTGGAAAAAGAATGAGAACAGGAGTTAAACTTCATGATTCAGTCAAAAGATTGACTTAGAAACTGTAAGAGAGCTTGGCCTAGTGCTGGTGTATCGTGTACATGCAACTGTGAGACATTAGGCAACGCTTCTTAAGCATCTGACGTGGACTTGTGCATGTATGTGTCTGTAAGAACAGCTGAGAGCCTGTGTGTGTATGTAAACCATTTATAAAAACGCTTTCTAGAAAATGACACCAGTTACCTCTTCTTTCATCTGAGTCATAGCCTAGGGATCTGAGAAAAAAGTTTAGACAGGGTATTAAAAGGTCTGATTCCATTACTTTGAATGAAAAGTTTATCTCATAGCATCTTTAGGTGAACTTGGAAGTTCATTTTGTAGCATAGGTCACAAAGTCCCTGAGGACAGGGAGATTGTGACATGTCTCATTTCCTTTCATATTCACATTCAGATCCTAAAACAAAGCCTCATACTTCATCAAGTGGGTTGCTGCTGCACAGTGAAGGCTTACCCATCATTCCAGCTATTTAGCATCTCCAACACTCCCATATTGCAGCCCACGGGGCACTAGCATCCTGTCTTCCTCTCCCACTGATCCGCCCAAACTCCATCTCACTCATGGGAAGGAATACTGGAGCCCTTCCACCACTCTGAAACACGGCAGCTGCCTGGCATGAGACTGTATTTAGTAGATCTGAATTCAGTTTCTCCCACGGCCACTTGTATGTGGGTGACTTTAAATAAGGTTATTTACCCCCTGAGTTTATTCGCAGCAAATTTTGGTGATGAGATAATGAAAGTAAAACTTTCCACATGGTGTTGTCATCAAAGTAAGAGCTGGTGGCAGTGATGATGGTGATGATGACGATAATGATGACTATTACCAAAGATCACACAGCCAGGAGGCTCACATCCAAGCATTTGCTTCTAAACCTCATGTGCTTTGTTACCATGCTGCTTGTTATTTGGCAAATCTGATGATATGATTTGGTACTGAGTCTCCCCAGGTAGGTCTGGACCTGGTTGGGACCCTGCCCGCTGTCTTTCTGTAGTTCAGTTCAGAAGTACCAGCCAGAGGCCCCTTTCCTCCAGTGCTGGCTCTTCCTTTCTGCCGTTGGTCACTGATAAAACCTCCAGGTGGGACCGCTTTCTGGGGAGGAGAGAGAGTGAGGTGGGGTGCTTTCACCCCAGGAGAGCTGCCTGTGTGCCTGGCATCGAGGAGTGTGCCTGCCTTGCCTTACGGAGGGTGTGTGAATCTGCCTGCCCCTGTGATTTCCTTCCCAGAGATAACTTAATTTCCAAGATCAAGTAAGGAACAGCTGGCTTCTGCAGTTCACCCAACCTATATTCCCAGTCAGGTAGAAGTCCAGACTTCCTTGAAGTCCAGCCCTTCAACTGAAAAATGTTTATTGCTGGATACATACCACCAAAAGCTGCTCAGTGCATGAAGCCCATCGGAATCTTCCTAACACACATTTCTCCCCCTTTCTCTGAATTCCTAAAGAGTCTCGACAGAGAGACTATTCCCATAGTCCTGGTCAGCAATTCGAGTCCTTGTCAAGTCTTTATTTGAGATGCATGTATCTTTCTTCCAATTTGATTGCAATCTGAAAGAAGCTCTTGCCTCTTACTTCTAGATCTGCATGTTACTTAAAAAGTACTGGCTGGAAGACTTACGAGGGTAAAGCTGATAGTGACAGCCTGTCAGGAGAAAGGCCCCTGCAGTTAAAATTCCTGTAGCAAACTTTGAGTTCTCCCAGTGAGTGGCTCTGAAATATTGTTGTGTTGGAGACATGCTCCCTTATTCCTTTGGGACCCTTCTGTCTACCCAGCTCCTTGGCTGACCCCTATCAGAAAAGGACCCCATTGCTGGAAGTGCTTTCTGAATGAGACAGTGAATGTGGGTGGAGTCCCCTAAATCAGGAGGAGCAAGAAACTGAATTGCCAGAAGGAATCTTATCATCCTAATAAAATGAAGCACATGATTTGCATTCCAGGTCCTTCAACTATTCTTTGGGAACCCGGGCGTTTTCCCATGACAGTATTTTTATCCCTGATGGGGGAGCAGAAAGTGAGCAGACAGTTCAAGCAATGTCACAGGACAACATCCTGGGCAAAGTCAAAACTCTTCAGGTAAGACAGCTTGAGATTGAAGGTCTGAGCCATAGGAAGGGGCCCATCTACGGAGGGAAGTGGGAAAAGTTCTGAACGTGGCCTTGAGTAATGGACTGGGAGGTCCAGGGGAAGCTCCTGCTGAGAAAATTTGCTTTCTCAAACCTGACTCAGTTTTCTGGAAGCCTGTCTCTGTCCACCTGTGAGAAGTACACTATCACCACTGTACCCACCTACATAACACCCCGTCTCCTTTTCTCCCAAGGTGCCCCCTTGTTTTTAACTGGACTTCATGGGACAAGTGCCCACGAGAAGCTGCAGGACTTGGGTGGGAGGAAAGAGCTAACTAAGTGTTGGCCGTGATCCCTGAGCACAGGGTTGACTGTGAGCTGACAGTGCACAGCAGGCGTTCCCTTTCCACGTCTCCATACTTGAACAGTGGATGGTGAGACACTTAATCATCCTGTCGTGTTTGTAAATCTGGCTCCCCTGGGCAGCCCTGTCTCAGAGGGATGTCATGAAGCTCTCTCACCTCCCGCTCGTCCACACTGCAGGGTTGGGCGGTTTTCCCACATGAAATTGACTCAGGTGGTAACTCCTTAATAATGAAAATATAATAAAATAATTCTTCACTAAATGCAGTTGAAATAGTGGGGAATCCAGGAGAAAAGCAAATCCGACTCTGCCAGGGTTGCCTGAATGCTGAGTAAGAATCCATTCGCCCAACAGAAAGGCCTTCTCTGAGCTGGGGGTGTTTGGAGGCGATCCAGATTATGAATGGGGGCCACTCTGGCTTGCTGGTGTCCATCTGTCTCTGAGTCTCCAACAGTGAATGAATAACTGAATGAATGAGCAAAACAAAGAGGATAAAGGGAACAGCTGGTTTGAGCTGCTGACACAATGAAGCACTGAACTCAAAGGCAATTTTCTGTTTTCTTGAAATGTTCTTGTTTCTACTGACCGTTTGCTGAGTGTTTTGTGATCTGTGTTTGGTTACACATTCCACACACACTCAGCTGAATCTAGCATATGGCCAGCTGGGGAATAGCCAACACCCTGGAACCACACCCGGACTTGCCTCGATCTTTACACCCACTGCACCGCAGCCCCGGGGCCAGAGTCCTGCCCTCAGAACTAACCTAGACACTGCCTTCAAATTTCAGCGTTTCCTAACTAGGGCACTGAGGGCCCATTCTTGGTTCTTGCTGGTTGCATTGCCCCATTTTATAGCTTCAGAAGAAAAAGTAAGCTGTCGCTTCTCATTAGTTGGAGAAGAGAGATGGGTGGTGATGGCCAAAGAAAACCTTCACCTCCCCCACTCTTGTTTTTCCCTCTTGAAGTCTTTTGAGTCCTGGGATATTATTCCTAAGAAGTTCTGAACCCTCAAAACATCCCCTTTCTAAGGGGGATGACTTACAGATTTCCATCTCCTAAACAGCTGTATTTTACAAGGGCCTTTCAAGGAGGTCTTTAAAAATTAGATAATGGCCTATTGTCTTAAAACGGTATCTGCTTTGTAACGTCACACCACATGGCCACTGCCACCCCAAGAAATGGATCTGGAGTTGTAAAAAATGGATAATTCTGCAGTATTGAAAATAGAGAAGCTCAGTTAAAATATGTAAATGCCTGTTGTTCGTATTAATGATATAAGGCATAAGTTTAAAGGATCTGATTTCGTAATGAATAAAATGGAAAGCAACCGACCTCCCTGAAGTGACAATTCTGTTAACACAGGAGGAGAAATATGGGTGAAGCTATCTGAGTGCTAATCGGAGTGCTCTCCTTTGAACAATAGCTACTCGGGTCTGCCTAATTTTGCTTCTGCTGCGTGGATTCACAGCTTCCTTATAGCTCTAGAGTTACATGTTTTTAAACAATAAAATAAGAGACTTTGCTCTTTGAGGAGGGGAATGGGGACCATTTTTGTAGCAAATGTGATTTTTTTGGAGTGACATAAGATGTAACTGTATCACCCCCAAAAGACTGTGCTTTATTTTTCAGTCGACTAAGCAGTATGTTCCTGGTAAGTCGTAGCAATCGTAGTTAATTTTATTCCCTTGCATGGATGCTTTGCATTTTTCCATGGAAACGTTATGCTGGTATTGATGCTCAGTAAGCAGCAGAGACTCCAGCATGGAATGAGGGTGTCTAGTTACGTCAGAGGCATGTATGTTTTTCACGTCTGAAATTGTCTTTGTGTATGTGTATGTTTATTAAAAAAGAGAGAGAGAGACAGAAGTCATAGATAACACCTATTTGACAGTAAATGTCCTAGCAAGCTGACAAGCCACCATTATTAAGAGATTCTTTTGAAATGAGATTTCTACTGGAATGCCATTAAAAAAAAAAAAACTGTTTTCCTCTGGCTTAAACTTACTAGCCCTTGGAAAGAACTGCGCCTGTAATGACTGCATTTGGAAAGGTTGCCCCCTAGTGTCCACGTATAGTCATCTCAGCTAGGACTGTTCTGTGTGGTACGGGTGGCGGTTAGTATCTGTCTCCTGAGTACAGAATGACTGAATACAGCATAAATCAGCCTACACTTTACTGAATAAAGTGAATCTACCACCTGCCAAAATTTCTGTGGCAAGCAACTGAACCTTTAAAAGAAAAAGTACCTTTTTTTCCCCTTGAGTGTAAAAATAATACATGTGCATAGTGAGAACAAATTTGAATATATGGAACAGTTATAGGGACAAAAGCCACAATGGTGTCCTTTTTGAGGACTCTATACATAACAGTTGTTCTGTGGCCAGTGGGGGAAATATAAAGCCCACGCCAGGCCTCCGCCACCATCTGGCTGTGTGGCCTCAGGGGAAGCCATTTAACTTCTCACCCTCATTTTCCCCATCCGAAAAACAAGTGGATGCATGTGATGGATGATCTGAAGGGCCCCTCCTGTTCTTAAAATCTGCCATCAATAGAAGATCACCATTCACCTGCTATAGCACGAGGTGGCTTTGTAAGCGCTGCATTTCATTGCATTTGGACCACAGTGACCTTGATGTTCCCTGCAGATGCCCGGAGCATGGATCAGGGAGGTGCCTGTTTATTTCAGATCAAACCAGGCTGTGAAGTCTGTGTGTACCTACTGATGATAAAACTCAGGAACGTCACAGTCTAAGCCTGCAGGTGATTTTTAGAATTAGACCACCCCTTTGTGAGAAAGTGCTCGGTCTGTTAGTCCACGGACTGTTTACTTCAGGAGGGAGAACCTCCATCTTCAGCAGCTGCCGTCTCCTGCTGAGCTGGATTTCACTTTAAAATGCCAAAGAGTCTTTCCTTTGAGGATTCTGGCACCTCATGCAGCTGTCAAGGACACAAAGAATAAATACCTGCTCTTGGCCCCTTCTGCACAGAGTCGACGTCTTTAAATCTCTGTGCTTTCGCTTTTTCTTATTCTTCTAAATTCGTTTTAATTATGGGAGGATCTGTAGTTCACTCAAGAGGACAGCAACTTTATTTTCCCTTGGCTTTGTTCTTACAGACGTGGTCTGAAGGCTGGCTGTGAAAAATCTGGGGAAATCTAAACTGGCAGTGTGAGAGCTGCAGAATATGATGTGCTTGGAATTTCCACACCAGAGGGAAAAAGCCTCATAAATATGGATGTGCATTCCTATAACATCATTCTCCAGCATTCCATATTCCACCAAAATGGCCCAATTTGAATGAATAAAATACAGCTTTTTGCGCACATTCCACCCTAACAGTAACTCCATTCATAGCCACAAATAACGTGGACTCAGTCTAGGCACAGTGCTTCCACTCTCTCCTCGGGTTCTAATCTCAGTGCGTATAAAGAATCCATGGGTGTGCAAAGAAATATCTATACGTGGAGGGAGTGGTAATAGTTTATTTCTCTGAAAACTTAAGGGCAAGCTCATCTTAACAGTCTGGTTTTCAGTGACTTCTGGTATCACAGTTCTCATGACAGTGAGTAGTGGGCAGAATAAAAATCACCAAAAAGCCACATTTAGCTTTATATTCAGTTCACCCAACACCTGCGATTGCCAGATAGGATTTAGCAGTCACCTTTTAGCTGTCAGTAAACCACACAAATTACCCGACAGCCCCGTCCCCTTTGAGTCAGCTGAAGGAAGCGTTCGGAGCAGGAACCATAGGGTGGGGAACTCGTGCAGGTGCAGAAGCCTTGGCCTCGAGAGCCTGAGCATCAGTCACCATGGCCTTGGACCTTCAGTCCTACCCGGCCTGTTCTGCTGTCTCATCCCTGACCACTGCAGGCTGTGTCAGGAAGACAGCCCCTTGTCTGCGCAGAGAGGCGGCAGCCCTATCCCGGGATGGAGGCCGTCATTTTAGTGACCTGGGTCCCCCCTCCTCCCGAGCTCCCTAGCCAGCAGCCTGGGTCTGTTTTCTTTAGAGGGATTTGCAATCAGCTGCCTTCTGGAGGTGCATGTCGTCATCCTCAAAGGCAACAGCATTGTGTTTCTTTTGCAGGATGAGCAGATCTGTGACGTAAATCACCGCTCTGATATGCACACGTTCTCATTCCCTCTTGCTCTCTCCCGCTTCCTCCTTCCGACCCCCCTCCCCGCCCCCTCCAGCGGTTGCACCTGCCATAGGGGCTGCAGCTCCTCCCTGTGCCTCTTCGCTGCCCCCTGCACCCTCCCCTCAGTTTGCCTCTTTGACCCTCCGCTTCATTTGTTAACATCACTCTCCATTTCCCAGCTTAGTCCCGTGTGCCTTATTTCACCTGTTTTTATTGCATCTAGTTTTCCCCTCATTTTCTCTTTCATTTTCCATTTGTGGTCTTGATAGCCATCCCATCTGAGGAGTTTATTTCAGGCTGGCCTGTGATTAGATTTTGCCTGTGTGTGTGTGGTGTGTGTGTGTGTGTGTGTGTGTGTGTGTGTGTCGTGTGTGTCGAGTACGAACACTATACTTAAGTATTAATGTAGTAGTTACGTAAAG